AGAATTTTTAACTGTCACTTTCTCACAGTAAGCGAGCTAGTTTTTATATAAATCGGATATTAGTTCTGGCGACTGGTTTAGTGTGCTAAAATAAAATAAAATAAAAATCGCATTTCCATCAAGCCATTGTTCAGTTAGCTGGCTTTTCAATTGACCGGTGTATGAATAAACGATATTCTTTGCACAAAAAAGGATTTAGCGAAGCTTTTAAATTGACTAGATATCAAAGGAAGAGATTTTTTTTCTCTTCGCTTCCTAGTGACGCTTATATATAAAAGATTGCCTTTAGCCGCGGATGCCTCGACCGCTATCATCTTTCCCAGCCGTCATCGTCGTGCGAAAGAAATCGATTCTCTCACTAAGATATCGATTCCCTGAATAAGATATCGGAGATCTCTGAATCAACGAAAATTCCGATAATTCCGCCCCGGCGTTACGATCAGAGGGCGGCATCAGATGGCGGCCGCTTCTAGCCAAGATTAGCTGTCATTGGATGCTGACGCTTCACTAGCTTCCCAATTTAGTTGAAGTTTATGAAAGTTTCGAATAGGATTTTTCGAAATGCTTCTATCGATCGTACGAAGATGAGACTTTTCGTTTTTTATTTTCCATTTGTCATTCGAGCTGGTTACCGAAAGTTAAGTCTTTCGCGCATTTTAACCCAGACTAATTTTTTTCCTCGCCACCTTATTAATGACTTCAAAGCTAGAAAGATTATCTTGGATTTTTCTGTTTGCAGGATTGTTTTGGTTTGATCTGTTCTCTCGCGCGCATTTTTTATCCTTCCTTGAAGATTTACCTGTAACCAGGAAGGTTACATGTGAAAATATCGCGGATGGAAACGTCGCCGAATAAAACGCCGTACTAAGCATTATAGGAGGAAAGAAAGCAAACAGAAACCAGTATGATACACTCTTGCTCAAAAAACTGAGCAACAAAGGCAAAACACGGAATAAAACAAAAACTATTTAATGGATATGCGTGAAATTTATCCTTGAGGTTTGGTGTGGCATTACTAGACCACATAGCAAACAATAAAGCAAAGACATACAAAAACACGTATATTACGACCACATCGCGAAAGATCAAATGGATGGAAGAATGCGCAATGGAAACATCACGCTGATGACGAGTACGATACCTTTCTAGCTGATATGCTTGCTTGACAACGTCGAGGCAAGCTAGCTAATGTGTCATTGATGTTTTTTTTTTTTTTTGGCAATAGCACCATTCTAATAGTAATTCATGTCGGAGCTCGTGGAGGGTGCCTGGAGGCACATTGTGACCTGCTATCTGTTGTCGTGATATGCCTGACACATGCTCTATGCCAGTGATTCTCAACCACCGTGCCGCGGCACTTTTGTGTGCCGCCAAATTCTTAAAGTGTGCCGCCAAATTTTAGAAATGTTTATAGTATAACTTATAATGGGTTTTATCCCATTATACGGTACACATGAGAATTGGCGAAATTCGGTTTATAAGACATTAATAAGCACTTCAATTGTGGTATCCAAGCCGATTTTGTTGCCGAAGACTTCTGTATTTGAATTAACTTTGGACGAAGAGAAAGAACTAATTTCGCTTTCTAATAATCGAGATTTAATTTTAAAATATTCGGAAGAATCAATTAATTCATTTTGGATTAACATTAAATGCGATTATCCCATGATGGCCGAAAATGCTTTAAAAATATTATTACAGTTTTCTACATTTTATTTGTGGAAATTCGGATTTTCAGTATTAACCAACATAAAAACGAAAAAAAGACCGAGATTGTTAAATGTAGAAGACGATATGAGAGTAGCATTGTCATTTTTACGACCAAATATAAATGAAATTATCAAAAATATCAAGCTCGAATTCCTCATTAAAAGTACTCTTATTATTAACTTGCAAATTAATCCCTTAATAAACGTACTGCTGTTTTTGCAGTATATATTATTTTATTTAACATTAAAAATTATTATCATAAACTATTTTACACAGTGTATTATAGGTAAGTAAACAACTTTTAAACTTATCTTTCTGTTTGTGTGCCGTCAAATTTTGAAATCGTTAAAAGTGTGCCGCAACAGAAAAAGGTTGAGAATCACTGCTCTATGCGATTCCAGTCCGGTAATCTAGCAGACGTGGATGTGGAATGGTTTCACGCTTTAGATAACTTCGCACCACTCCGCGAACTCTATGCGGGCGGGCGTTATCGTTCATAAATATCGCGTCTGCACCCATTGCTGCGACAAAAGAATGCATGAGACGGTGTAGAATTTTGTCGCGATATCGGACGACTGTGATAGAACCAGCAGGAATAACGTGCAGGTCATTGCGGCCGTTCGCGTTTATGCCAGCCCATACAAGTAAACTTTCTCCTCTGTAATGGTCTTTTTTGACCATGTTTGGCGCCCGATTGCGTGTCCATATCATCGCTTTTCGGAAGTGATTCTGGATGGTAAATCGGGACTCATCCGTAAAGATAGACCCCACTGCTATGGTGTCCAACTGCGATGTTCACGGGCCCAGTTCAACAGCCCTCTGGCATGCGATGGGAATCACAGGTCGTTGAACATTCAATCCACGCGTCACTTTAGGCGGGATACGGGCCGTTCTTCAACAGCAGAAAGATGTGACGCCAGCTGTCTCGTCGTCAGCGATCTACGGCGTCTTGAATATAGCAAAGGAAGCGATCGTCTGTCATTGTTGTAATCCTCTGGCATCCAGATCCACGTCTTCTACAGGGGTTTGGGTCCCTTTGGTAGCGCTTCCACAGCTCATTGGTCCACATTCAGCTCTCTCGCAACAGCGGATTGTCTTGCACCAGTTTGCAGCATCTCGGCAGTTCTCCAACGCATATCGTCGTGCAGATGGTGTCTTCCGCTCATTTTATTCGCTTTGGCTAATCTCGAATTACACGGAGCTACCGCTGCTTTCCTCTTTTTACATGCGTACCTTTTCTTTTAGTGTTTCTTGTCTATATTTTGAACAGAGTGCATAAAACGTCGTCGAAAGTAAAGTGATTCAGAAGCTTCGCAAGTTTAAAACATTGTCGTAGGAAAAATTTGTGATAAAAAATAAAACACCTACAAAATCATCAATTAATCGAGGATTGGCTCCGTTTACATTTACGCTGTTATGTGAGGAAGTCTTAATTTTCATTAACTTTACAGTTTGCATTTATTACTAATGACTAATTCCATTAGACTCATTTCATTTACTAATTTCATTAGACATATATTTTTAATTCAATGAATTCAGTTCTTACTTCGCGGCAAGGCTAAAAACTAGATAAAAATGCAATCTTTATTAAAAATTTTAAAGTCCAGGAAAGTCTAAAACACCATAACAATTATAGATAACAATTAAAAAAATAATTTTTACAATTAAAATTAGAGTTTACACGCGCAAAAACTAGCAAATCGGTCAGCGGGGAGAAAGACAAAATTTTCGGTACACAAAAGTGAAAGTTAACTTTTGGTCACATTAGGCAAAATGACACTCAAGTTGGTACACCAACTGATTTAATTCACTGGTCTGCTAAAAGTTTCACATGTAAACAAATGGCGGTTACGTTAGGCTTAGCACCACTTAAAATTTTAATTTTTTTATAATTTTACCACTGCTGCATGTAGATTTATTAAAGGCATAAAAACCTTAACCGAAAAATAAGAACAACATTATTCGATCACTTTTTTAAAGCAAAAAATGCACAATTTACGAACATACAAGAATTAAAAAAATTGAGCTGACCGAGCCGCGTAACAGAGTAACAATATGTTTATTTAATTATTTTAAACGTAAACAAATTTAAATTTAATTTTTAACAAACACGTATAAAAGTAAAAAAGCAAGTTTAAATCCTAAAAAAGAAAAAAGCCAAAATAATTTTTTAAAAAATTTTTAAAAAATGTGCAAACATATAAAAGATTTAATTCATTATCAATATCATTTAAATTCAGAAGCATAATCAAATCAAGTGCAAAATCAATCCATGAAAATAAATTCACTTGATTATGCTTCTGAATTTAAATGATATTGATAATGAATTCAATCTTTTATATGTTTGCACATTTTTTAAAAATTTTTTAAAAATTATTTTGGCTTTTTTCTTTTTTAGGATTTAAATTTGCTTTTTTACTTTTATACGTGTTTGTTAAAAATTAAATTTAAATTTGTTTAAATTTAAATTTCATTCCTTGCAGCAATGGCGCAAAGAATATTTAATTAAATTGTATATAAATTTAATTTTTTTAATTAAATTCAATTTATTCTTATGAAACAATTTATTTAATTATTTATTTACATTTATGTTTGGTGAGGTAGATGGCAACAAAATAGGGTGGTGCACAACTAGATGTTATAGCAGACCCATATGCAAAATTTCAACGTTCTACAGCTACTCGTTTTTGAGTTATGTAAGATACGTGCATACATACGTATATACGTACAGACGTGACGAAAAAAAAAATCTCTTCTCAATCCATTTTGAATCCGTTTTACAATTCGTTTTTGAAAAAAAAAGTCCTTTAATCTATCCGTGCGAACAGATGTCGCGCAAAAACATTACTTCTCGAAATTACTGGAAAGTATATGGAGGGCGGATACGGTTACAGCTATATATGGAATCAATAAGAGTTAGTCGCCAGATGGATTCAGATGGATTCATTAGCGTCCAAAATGGACATTTTCGTTGAAATATGATACCCGAAATCTTTCGCGATTACAATACTGCTTACACATCGTAGAAGAAGTGAAAATGAAGGCCTGGGGGAGTAAAAAGATTTCATATATGAAATAGTAGGAGTCCGTTGAAAAGCCGATTTTTTCTTGCATTTATCTTTTTATTTTATTTGCGTGTATTTTTATTAAATCTATTTTATTCAGTGATATTTTTACTTGAAGTTAAATTAACCTTTTTCATCTTAAAGTATGTGTAACCAATATATATATGTTTTTTTTTTCTTTTTCAGGTATGTATTTGTATTTAAATAAAGTATCTATCGCGTAGGAAGTATCCTTACGCATGGATGGTATGTACTACGTTTGATCGTATTTTTAAATGTACTATTTTTCTCATTATGTTCTAGTTGCTTTGATTCGAATCGTGAGATATTAAAATTTTACTTGTAGCTCATAACTACTGTGCAGGCCATTAAAATTGCTACTCTATTAAGGACAGAAAATAGCAGAATTTTATTTGTTGTACACTATCAGAAGTACTGGACGTTGTCCTGGTTTTACGCAGAGTGAAGAAGCTTCGTTTAAGGAGGAGTAATTTTTTTTATTTTATTTATTTATTTATTTTTTATTTTTATTTTTTATTTTTTTTTTTTTTCAAAAATGGTCAGGTAGCCACTGACAGTCCTCCTCATTTGGTTCAAGGTGAATTTTGAAAAATTTTACCAATCTCAAATAAAACTATAGAACAGTGTAGTACTAACACGTTTTTGAGTTATGCGAGGTACATACGTATGTACAGACTTCACAAAAAATTCTGTTCTAAAAACCCGTTTAAATCTACACTCATGTCCATAAATTAAGGATAATTCGGAGTCACGCGGAAATCGAACTCTAAAATAAATATATCACCTGTAAAATCACTACACACATCTTCAAGAATCATATGCAAATTTCAGGAAGTAACCAGATTACCCCGATCGTACGTCACAATGAGGAGAGTGTAAGAGAGTGATATATAAGGAATACAGGCAAAGAAGTAAAATTGTTCGCAGGCGCTTTATAAGCATTTCAGTGCAATAACCGAATAGTTATGACACAAAGGACGCATTGGATGATTTTTACGTGGTAGAAAATATCGGCCGTCTGGAATGTGGGCGTACCCAACTGGAAGTATCAGACGAACTTGGAATTGCCCAGAGAGTGTAATCTCCAGGCTTTGGCAACGATTCCAGATGATGGTAATGTGAGTAGACGTTACAGCACAGGTCGCCCCAGAGTTACAACGCCGAATGAGGACTGGTATTTGGCAGTTACTGCCAAAAGAAACAGGCGGAGCACAGCCTCAGACCCGTCTCCGTCAGCTCTCTTCAGCCACTGGAACGACAATTTCAAGGCAGGCCGTGTACAGACTCTTAGGGCAGATTGGTCTATATGCCCGTAGACCTGTCAGATGCGTTCCACTTACTGCAACTCACTGTCGCCTGCGGTTAGCCTGAAGTAGAGAGCATGCATTGTGGACACCGCAACAGTGGCCTTGTGTGATGTTTTCCGACGAGTACAAGTTTAGCTTGCAGTCTGATTTTCGCCGGACTTTCATATGGAGAGCTCCAGGTACCCGTTATCACCAAGAAAACATCATTGAACGACACCGTTACGGTGGTGCAGGAGTGCTCGCTTGGGGTGGAATTATTCTGGGTTCCAGAACTGACCTGCATGTTCAAATTGGAACCATGACAAGCCAAATCTATCGGGACGTCATTCTGGAACAAAATGTACGTTTGTTTCGGGGCGTCATGAGCGCACAATTTGTGTTTATGGATGACAACGCCCGTCCTCACCGTGCAAACATCGAAGCGAATGCCTTCATCTGAGGATATCACCCGTATGGACTGGCCAGCATTCTCACCGGATTTGAATCCAGTAGAGCACGTGGTGGGACATGCTTGGCGACGAGTTTGCAAGCCCCGTCAACCTCCTCCTACAGTCTACCCGAACTTCGGAGAGCATTGCCTTTTGAGTGGTGTAATATCCCCCAAGATCAGATCGATAATTTGATACTCAGCATGCCTAGGCGTTGTACAGACTGTATTGCATCGCCTGGGAGACATACAATGTATTAGCAATGATACCAACCATGTAATGTTGGTTTTTTGTAAATAGGTTTTTTTGTAATTTGCTCCAGGGAGAAAAAATCGCTAATTTTTTTAATAATATCAAACATATAGCATCTTTTTTTGCTCTTTACCTTTTGTTTAATAAATAAGCTTTACAAATAAGTTAAATTTGTTTTGCTTCTAATTTTTCCTTTGCCTGATTTTGCATTATCCTTAATTTATGGACATGAGTGTATTTTACTATCCGTTTTGAAAAAAAGAGACCTTTATTCTGTCCTTACGTAGAGATGTCATGCAAAAACATCGTTTAAATTGATTCAAGAGCGATGGAAATTTCCATTAAAATTTGATATCCGAAATTTTTTGCGATTACACAATACTTCCTATACTTCGTGGAAGAAAATTAAAAGAATCCGTTAAAGAAATATTTGTTACGAAAGTTGCCGATAGGAGGAAATGTGGCGCTGTTCTATTCTACGTAACTGAAAATTTGCATGAAATGCAGATAAAATTTTAAAATGCAATGTCTTGGTAACATAAACGTCAACAGCATTAATAACTTAGTCTATAAAAATAAGGGAAAAACACTGAAACCATGCCGAATGTTAGCTGGATTCAAACCTCAACGCGCCATACTTGTGAAGTTGTTTTATCGTCATCAATCGAACTCAGTCGTCTCTCTTCTTAAGTTCAGAAGTCGTAACAACCTACGTAAAGGTCCTCTGTCAATTAGTACACTGAAAGGCATGATACAAGAGTTTGAAAAACAGGATCTTTAGCAATTCGGTTTGCTAGATGGCGGAAACCAGTGTCAGAACAGTTTCTGATGTCGCGACTGCTATTGTTAACGGCACCTATGGAACCATTGCTGGTAGTAAAGTAATGCCCGGGAAAAAGCCCGCCGGTTGGATATATAAAGCTTTCAACGTTATGAAAAATCTTGCGGAAATTGCTTCACTTCTGCCCATTCACGATAAGCCGCGTGCAGGAATTAAAACACAACGATTATGTTCATTTAATCTACTCTGACACTTCTTGCCAGAATGGTGGCTTCGCTGTGAAGAATTCCGTGAAGAGATGAGGCCCATTTTTTCCTAAATGGGACTGTTAATATTCGCAATTCTCGAATTCGGGCATCCAAACAACTCTATGTAGTTCGTGAAATCTCATTTCATTCACCAAAAGTCACTGTTGGAGGTGGCTTCACAGCAGATTTTATCAGCAGACCATTCTTGTTTGCGAACATTACCCTAACAGGACCACGTTCCCACGCAAAGACTAGTTTTGACCAGTATCTACTGATTAATTTTGTCATTCCACAGCTTAAGTAGAGGCAATTGCTGTTATTGGGTAACATTCATGCAGGATGCAGCACCAGCGCATATTGGTCTATCGGTACAGCGACTGTTGCGCCATCACTTAACGGAAGAGAGTGTCACTTTTCGCACTTGCATGGCCGCTTTGGTCCTCGGATCCAACTCCGTGTGACTTTTCCTGAGCGTTATTTAAAGTACTTGGTCTCTCTTGGTGGGGGTGCCGACCTCGACAACTGTAATGGACAACATATCGCGGGTTTATCTGAAAATTCTTGGCAACAGATTGACCAGGCTTCCGATCTAAGGATAATCCAAGAGGAGTTATGCACCTGATCAGTGGAAACTATGAATCTGCAGCCCACAGAGGTGTTTCGGTCATTGAGAATGTTATGTACAGGATGTGTAGTGTGTGGTCACATTGGAAGAGGTCAGAAGAAGCGATTCTATTGAATATAGAGCTGTGGTGTACTGAAATTAGCATCTCTGCAACCTTTTGAGAGAGCTCGTGTGCTGCATTAAAGAGGTGTTGCACTGAAAATTCGTCTTTGTTATTGATTGGTCTAGTTCTCAGCTAATGTAGGTTTGAACATCGGTACATTTTCCACTATCTACATTTATCGGTATTATTATTAGACCCAAGGGACGATTTGCATAGAAGGGCTATTAATTTCGTTTTGGCATTTTGCGTTGTCCAATATAAAACGGCGCTTCATTTTTCAAATTATTGCCACCAAATATAAGAGCCCTGCGTGATATTTAAAGAAATTAAATAATGAAGAATCTGCATGAATATATGTATGTTTCTCGCACTGTGGAAAAACAACGGTACGCAGAGACATCCAATTTTGAATAACGTAGTCCTCCACTCGAATATGGGCATCTGAAGCCCCAAATTTACAAGAATTTGTATTGTAACCTCTTTCATATTTTGTAAAACTTTAACGAATTTTTTATCAATAAACTCAAGGATTTCAAAGCGAGCAATGGCAACACTGTACTCTCCAGCGCGCGAGACTGTGTATCGGAAATTCTGAAGATACGCTGTTTTTAAATATTTTCTGATATTGCTGTTGAATTGAATTTTATGATTTAAGTGCGAAGCACATGATAGTTAATAATAAATAAATAAAGTTAAGACGCAAAACGTTAAAAGAACGCCCTTTGGGCGTAATATAAAATCTGAAAGCTTTCAGACTTTTATTTATTTATTTTCGAAGGAACGTTTTTCCCTTGTCGTCATTAGTTATGCTACTAAATTTGGTGGCATTCCAGAGAAATCGAGCTACAAATGGTTCTGAGTAATGTCAATTTGAAAACAAAAACACCCTTCAGCCACTCGTTTCCTTCTCATTTCTGCATTCAGATTGTGTCCTTAGAACTTTATTTTTGGTTTATTTTCGTAACATTTCCATGTGAGGGCTGATCGAGGACCTTCGCTCATAAATCACTTTTATTACAACGAGAAAAAAAAAAAAAAAAAAAAAAAAAAAAAGATGTGTTTGTTTAGAAATGGACTTGGAATATGTTTGGTTATCACGCGATGTCACAACTTTTTTTTTTTTTTTAACAGACTTAGTTTCTTATTCCGGGCCATTGAAATGTTGCCATTTCTTAAAATTTCAAAAACTCGGGTATCTTTTTAAAGAAATATATATCATTTTATTCCAGAGAGAGGGGAACTTCATACTCTTCTAAGAATCTGTTTTCAATGAAAACGGAAACATAAGTAAAAGATAAAAAGAAGAAAGTTACCCATTGTAGGAAAGAATAAGCACTTAGAAAAGAATTTTCTGTTGAAGCCCCTTCCCTCCCCCCCCAAAAAAAAACGAAGAGGATGGAAATAAAAATGTTGCTTTGTGTATCTTTTATTACAGAATATCCGGTCGAAAAAAGTACCATTCAGTAAATAGCTTACGCGAA